CAAGGGAGTGACTAAAACCGGAGGACGAGAAGAAATGCTCGGCTGGTCTAATGAATGAAAGGCACGATTGGTGTCAGTAGCAAATAATCTGCGATTCACTAACGGCCAAAGCTGTTCAAAAAGAGGGTGAATGGCGTGGCTAGAATTGAAGGGGGCTAATGAAAAATGGCTGGTTAAAAGAAGATTGCGAGCATTTATAGCCTCTGCCTCCACCTTATTAATAGTATAAAAACGGTCAATCAAGTTCCTTGAATAGCAAGGAGGAACAGGCCAAGTTTGACCGAAACCAAACTGGCGAGCAAAAAATTGGGGAGCATAAATTTCTACCCTTGCCTTGGCATTGGTCCTAGCCAAGATATCATGAAATAGCTCCCTCCCGGTTAAAAACTGGATCCAAATGAGCAGGGAGGTGCTCGCGCTGTCTATAATGGAGGGGGGATGTACATAGTTTGGAGTCAAAAAAGGAGGAAAAGGAAAAAAGGAAGAGATTGAATCCAAAGAATAAAAGAATGAAAAAATGTCCCTTCTGGACATATTTACAGGAGCCAAGGGCTCCATGGCTAGCCCATAACAGCTAGCAGAGGAGCGAGAGATTGACGAAGCACCAAGCAATGGAAAATAGGATCTCAACCACAGTTGAGTGAACCAAAGAGGTCCACTGCCAGTGGGAGATGCACCATTCTTCAATTGAGTTTGAAGAGAGGCCATGCCTCTATAAAGGGCAGCCAAAAATAAAGAACATAAATTCAAAGGCCTGCCACGTGCCAATTCATGCGCTATAGGTAAGTAACTCAGGGAGGGCTTTATGCTTGGCACACACAAAACATATTTACAAAGCCAAACTAGAAGGAAGGCCACTCGCTCAGTGTGGGAAAGCTCAGCGCTTGAATGATTGTGAAGGGTTTGCAGGCTTGAGTAAGAATCGGTGTAGTTTTTACCAAACTTTGGGGCGCCACCAGAAATCAAGATACTAGGAAAAATGGTATCGCCCAAAGGTGGTAGATTCACCAAAGCCCCAACGTCCCTTAAGGTAATAGACATGGGGCCAAGAGGGAAAATAAATGTGTTATACTCGGAAGACCAAAAACTCAAAGCAACCGAAAAGAGTGCTGAATCAAAAGTAGGGGGGCGAATAGAGATTTCTAACAAATCAGAAATCATAGCGCTATAAAAAAATGCCTTAGTAGGACCATGACCCACAAGGCGAGCATGCCACCTACGAAAAGCTACATCAGATTTAGGCCAAGTGCGAATACCTCTTTCGTGAAGTGGCCCCAACGGCAGAGAGTTTAGAAAAGGAGGACCTTGAGTGCAAGGAAACAGCTGACCCACCGCCGCCTGTTCAATTGCCTCCGCATTGTTGAAGAAAAGACGCAAGTAGAACTCATTACGTTCGACATCGGCGGGCGCGAGAAAACTCGGAGTTATGTATGGATGACTCAGAAGTTTCTGAAAGTCATCAAAACTAAAGGAGTCGTCAGCTTGAGATTGTAAAGTAGCCATTTGAGAAGGAACGAAGTTTTTCAGGGTTACGTAGCAAGGAAGCAAAAGATGAACAGTAAATCGTGAGAGAGACGCAAAATTTGAGGCGTGATTTAATGGTGCAGTGGAATGGCGTGTTTGGGGGTTATAAGGGTTTGCAAAATGACGCACCTTTTCAAGTTATAGAAGAAAACAATGATTGAAATTCTTGGAAATTTCGAATGTTGCTGGAAACACAAAGTGAATATAGCAAAATTTAATAATTGTTATTAATTCTGCCATATTGGGGGGTAATTGTTGACACATAAAAATTTAGCCCAAATCGAACAGCTCAAGGAGTGAAGCCTAATTGGAGGATCCCCAAATCAGATAGCCCAAAGAACGAAACTCAATCAAACAAATCAAGACGAAGGCCCAAATAGGGAGGCCCAACACCCAAGTTTGCAAGTCGCCCAGAATCTAAGCGAATGGAATGCCATACAGTCGCTCAGAGCTGTTACTCTATTCTCGCCCAAACCTTCAAGTCGCCCAAGGTTTTAACAAACATAAAGCGTTGTGGTTATCAAGAAGTGCAGTTATCAAAGCAGTTCTTAAAGCAGGCCTATCACGTTCCACGATTCAAGGAATTCAAACGAAAGCGGTTGAACGACGAAGAGAAATGGCAGCAGTTAAAAGAAGGCAGTTTTCATGACAAGTTGGCCATTACGAGGAAAGTGGACAGTTATAGGACGATCAAGCAGTTTTTAAGCGGTTGATCACAAAGAGATCGTCCATGAAGTATAAAAGGGAGAAAAAACATAGAGTAAAGGACCGAATAAAAAACTCTCGAATAGAGAACATGTAATTTTCATTTCCTTAGTTTAGACTTAAACACTTTTCTTTCAGTAACTCGTGTGCTTGCGCCCCTTGGAGGCACGTTGTTTTTCATTTCCAATTGTAAAGTCATCGCCAATAAAAGAACACCCCTTTTTGGGACTTTGTCTCAAGAGGTTTGTCTCTTATACAATCGTCTGATCCTTTTTAATTGTTAGCGACTAACCCGCGCGAAACATAATTAAAAAAAATCATTTTGAGAAACAGAAATTCAACGCATCAGCCATATGACATTTTACTTGGAGTTAACAGAAATCCGTAACCCCGTAGCAAATCAAGAGTATAGACAACTGCTGCGACATTCAGTACATTAGACATTTGGAATACTAAAAGCATGTTTGGTAGAGATTTTAATCCAATTAACATCAATTTTTTGACCGTTATTTCACTATTTCAGCCGTTATTTTTTAATTCTTCTCTCAAATGTAGGACTCACTTTATCTCCAACGATCAAAAAATCAATTAACAAAATCCCTGTTAATCAAGCACTAAATTAAATTTGGAAATCCAGTTACTAAATTGCACGGCTTCTTCCGTTGACATTTGTAAAGCAAAAAATGTGGAAATGAATGCTAGTCAACAACAGCATTTTGAAAGAAGTCTGATTGCACTCAATTTTATCAGTAGTTTAAACCATAATAAGTTACGATTATGTGGACGCTTCAATTGTCTACTGAATATGCGGTAGCCAGTTGTTTGGTTTGAAAATGTGTGAAAAAATTCTATGAAATAGAACATTTTACTCCGTGGTCATCAAACCATGTCTCGATCTTCGAATGGTAACGATTTGGATTGACTTTCACTTTTGGAGTTTAGAATCATATCAAAAAGGAAAATTTATCCAAATTGTATGCGAAATTAGGAGTGGGCATTTTTTTCTAGAACCGATGGAATTGGATCGGAACCATTTAGAACCTATTGGTTTGGTTTCAAATCTTCTAAAAAATGATTTGATTTTGGGACAAATTATTAAGAATCAAATGATTTCGGTCCAGTTCCAGGTTCTAGTATGGGAACCTTCGAGAACCAGACGATTTTCATAGGATTTTTTTTTTTTTTTTTTTTGTAAACTATATGACTCAATCTCCAATCACTTTTATAAAAAATAATCAGGTTCCTTCTTCATTTTAAACTCCATCACTTTCCTTCTTCTCTTTGATTCTTTTATTATCTCTTCTTATAATTCTTTTATTAATTGATTCTCAAGCCAAATTAGAATATTAAGTAAATCTATATCTAAATAAATTTATTTACAACATATAATTTCATGTCTAAGATGCGAATTTTATTTTTTATTTTTTTTTCACTTTGATTACATAGTTGTTAATTCAATCGAAACTTTTCATCTAGATTTCTATAAATTATAATCGACAGAACCAGAATTTGCAATAAATTTTTAAAGGGTGTCCAATTCAATGTAGGATTTTGATTTTGATGGAAGTTTATTTAATCATTGGAGTACTATACAGTTTATATAAGTTGATGATTATTTGATGATAGTAACTTATATTATTTGGATATTGTTTTTTAATTTGTATACTTAGTTTTCTTTTAATTTTTAAAGAGTGTGTTCAGTTCTTTTATATTTTGTTAAAAGTATCACGTTGGTAGCAACTTTAGATTTTTTATTAGTGAATATTTTATTTTGACATTTTCAATGTAAAGAATCGGGATCGGACCGGAACCGAATGAAACCAATGATTCAATTTCTAAAATTCTTATTGGTATTTTGCTCGGTTCCCTTTGAAGTCGGACCACGCCGTTCCTACGCGAAATCATAGTTCGTAGAATAGTATTGAATTAAATTGAAATCATAACAGAATCGTACTATTCTTTACAATTCCAATGATTAGATAGAAAATAAAATAAAATCAAAGCAATTGGACCGGACGGCCAGGCAGTATGCAGCTTCATTTCAAGAAATTTCAGTATGAACTATGTTTCAATTTTAAGTTTTACTTACTATTAAGCCCAAATCAAAAGATTTAATTTCAACCGTCACTAATTTGAAATACTAGTTTTCAGCTAAAAAAATAAAAATAAAAATTGATTTGCTTTCAGCTTTAGTAATATGTTTTGAGTTTTGGCTTATCGTTTCATGATGAACAGAGAACCTAATGTTTAGTCAGATTTTCCCTTTTTATCTGATATGAAGATTAAATTTTGAGCTTTGATCATTTCAATTGTTCATTACCAATTTTGTTGTGATCATAAATAAAGTACTCGAAAACTTTTTATTGTATATTTTGAGATAATTATTAGCTTATAATTGTTAACATTTTGTTAAATTTCTACTTTTATTTTTGCGTTCATTTCAAAGCAATATTTAGTAGAATCTTATAATTTACAATTCCATCTATCAAATCCAATTTGCAAGACCCCTCCAACAATCCTATTAAAATACAATTTTGACAACCATTGTTTACACTCGTAGTAGATTGCACCCTATGATATGTCATGTAAGTCGAAAGCATTAATGATAGGCATGATGTTTTGTTGTGTATCGTAGTCGAAACATATATTCACTTGAGTGTGTGCAGGATCAAGAGATTAGATCCGCAATGCTTACTGATTCAATCATAATCCATACGCATTCAATTGCAAACAGGAAATCAGATGCAAATATAATTGATAATCCCATTTACAGATGCCCAAAAATTCTCCTATCAGCACATTTAAAGCAAAATAGAGCAGATGATAGCAAAAATGAATCCTAGTTTCAACTTCTCTCTGCTGTTAAGTTGCCTTATCTCAAAGTATTAGCCCTCTACATACGTTCTGTTAGTAGTATATCATCAGCATGAATTAGCAGTCGACCAGCGGACTCAGTCAGCAACTGACGGACCAGACAGATAGAGGGTAAGGGAAGGTGTTGGCGTATTGAAATGAGATGGTGCGGCCAATGGAAAGGGGTTTACCGTCATTAACTAGGCAATCATCAAATCCAAGCCGCTTAAAGACACGAGGGTTGATCAGTCGAGCTGAGCTGAACCAACCGCAACTCAAGTGTATCTCCGAAATGTCGCTCCCGGAAGTGCATACGTTCATGATCTCCACTGTGTACGTTGGAATACCATTTGGCAGTGATTCTGTGGCCCCCTGGATTATCACTATATCAGATTTCGAACACTTGTCGCCCCATATGCGGTCAGGCTTTACCCCTGCCTTTCCCTTTCCCTTTATCTTTTCATTTTCTTTTTTCTTTTCCATTGATGCTGAAAAATTAAGCAAATTCAAACAAGAAAATTGATTTAATATCATAGTACTTCAAGAAAATGTATATAACGTCAAACTAATGTCACGTGCTTTACTTTTTGAGGGCCTAATTGTTGTTATCAATTGTTTCGTTGTTAATATACCCCACCCTTCAAAATTTTCCCCGTTTTTAACCGTGCTAACTTAAATTAGAAATCTAATTTGGGCTCGTGAAATGTGAAATGAAAAGTCCCAATCAAAGCACACGTGCATGTAATCGTTCTTGAAATCAAAAGAAATCAAGAACATAGGGCTTCAAGACTAAATAGTAGGCACTAGGGATACTTTTCTTTTCCTTTTTCTTTAGGGGGATTGCAGAGCACAGACCAAGACACGTAGAGAAAAAGCTGGAGAGGCGTCGGGGATGGTGCGCCTCCAAAATGGACAGATTCGTACCCGACAACTGATATAAGAAAAAAGAGACACTGAGTGGTGCACAGTACCCTGTGACAGACACCCAGTGCGTGTTGTGTGACTGTTTCATAAATATATATATATATATATACACATGCATGCATCAAACATACATACATGCTATTGTGCTATTAAGAATGCAGTATATCGCTGGTAATGGTAATCCGAGATTCTCTCTCTTGGTCTCTTTGTTCATACATAAATCCAAAAATCACCATAAATGCAGGAATTTAAACAATGTACAGACTGTTTGAATTTTCTGGTTAAATTGAAATGTAACCCACATAATTAGATTGAAAAAAGTTAAAATTCAGCTGATTTACCATGATTCAGAAGCTTGCGATGAGACACAGAAATATTTGCACGTGATTCTATTGAGCCATCATCAAAATGCTGGGCTGAAGACAAACAATAGAACAAAAGTATAAATTAGAAGGATTTCGAGCGAAATGAGATGGATTGTTTTATGCCGAAAAGAATGATTAAATCGACCAATAAAGGAACAAAACAGAAGTGGAATTAAAGAGATATTAATATTTAGGAAGTCTTTTGTGGCTGAAAGAGAGGCCATTCTTTGAACAAATCCGAACAAAGTGCAAACACCACCAGTATGAACAATTCAATGAACACTGACCTGTATGAATTCCCATGACTATAAGCAGTATGACCGCAAAAAACGCTGTGATCGGAGAAATTATGAGCTTATTTGTTGACGGTTCACAGTGCATCATCTTCCAGCGAATGAAACCTTAAAATTAATCTCCCAGATTTATCACCAATAGAAGAAGACGAATCTTCGAGAAAACCGAGTTCAGTTGAGTTAACTCCGAGCTCAAAAAGATCTGTAGAAAACTGTACTGATTATAAATCCACTTGATATTCTTCTATCAATCTTTGACTGCAAGCTAGATGAAAAATGCTTTGAAAGCACTTGACAGCTATGAACTCTGCAACAACTATTAGCACTTCATATCAATTTTGACAATATATACACACTTATATAACTATACAACTCACAAAAAATTGAAATAGAATGCAAATATTAACATACATCAGGATTCTCAAAGGGAGAAATGGGCAGGCATAGGATAGAGTTTTGACTTTGAAAATCAAAAGAAGGATTCACGCATTAGGGTTTTGCATAGAAGAAGAATGTGAATTCAAACCCTGGAATAGCTAGACAAAATGATTCATCAATAAAGGAAAATTTTCCGGGAAAAGCGCCGTCAGCCCAATTTTTCCTGAACGCTCCCCATTTAATGCAACAACAGAAAAACAAAAATTCAAAAAATAATAGCAAATGCATTACCTATGATTATGTATGTATTTATTAAAAGAATATACATAATGGCAGTGGAGACAAAAATGGCAGAAAAAAATCTGGACAGGCAGAATAACAGCAGCGTGTAGTGTTCGTTGATGCAATTTGCATTTGAATTCTCTGTGTTTACCTTTGATTTTTAGAGAGAGAAAACAATCAGTTCCGAGGCGTGTGCTACATACGTTGAGAGAAAAATGTATTTGTATGTATGTATGGGGATCAAACGAGGAATGTATTAATGGGGAGTGCTTGGTGTACATTATGGATACCATAATGGTATCCATAATGCACACATGGCGCCCCCCTATTGGAGGGGCGCTTGGCCCACCCGACACCCTTCCAATAGGGGGGTGCCATATGTGCATTATGGATACCATTATGGTATCCATAATGTACACTTAGAATTTTCCTGTATTAATTTACTCGGGGTTTTATGCTCTCAGGACAAAGGATTTCTAATTATTTCAAAAAATAATTATTTCAAAATTTACTTAGCCACCAATAATCATTATTTTCAAACTCTTTTTTCTTAGAGCCTGTTTGAAAGTGATTTTAAAAATTGATTTTTTGACCGTTAGGAGAAAATTGGGGTCCACCTGTGAGAGAAGAAGTCAAAAATAACGGCTGTAATAGTGAAATAACGGTCAAAAAAATAATTTTTTGGGAGGAAAAATCGCTTCCAATCAGGCCCTTATACTTATTTTCAATTACGCATTCTCACAATAAAATATTCTTTATGCAAATTCAAAACTGTTCCCTATCTTTTAATCATACATTCTTCAAAAATTTACAATTTAAAAACTCATTTTTTCAAAAAAAATAAAAATAAATAAATAATTCCGTTAAACATGGAAATAATGATTTGATAACGTTGTAAGCTTAACCAAATGTCTATTTAAAAAAAAAATCCAGTCAAAATAAATAATCGATCATCTTTTAAACCCTTCACTGCTCATCCCTTGTCTTCTCTCCCGTGAAGTGATTAATCCCTAAAATTGACATGCAATCCCTATAAAAAAGCAAGAATTCCGATTGAAGGAAATTTTCACCCTCTAATGATCTATTCTTCTGGAGATGCTGGGGTTGTTGCATTAAACACGTGTTTGATATTATTTTTTAAAACTCATTTATAATCACATATTTTAAGCGATTTACAACTGTTATAATTTTTCAACAATATATTTTATCAATTTTTATTAAAATCTACTGAGCTATTATTTCACTAAATTGGACCAACATATTGTTCCTAAATTTTGTAATGCTAGCATTCAATGTATCTCGATGCTTAAAATTATTTACGGCTTAACATGACCTAATATTTGGTCTATATTGGGACCTATCCACATAGGTCAGTGAGTTTAAATTCTTTTATTTAAAAATAGTTTTTCTTCTTATTTAATTAGTAATTTTATGTTGATTTTTCATTTTAGAAGGTTGAGTTTAGGAGATTGAATTCGCACATTACCTATTAATTTGTTTGTGTTCTCATTTTTCTTTAGACAAAAAAGTCCTACATACCTATGGCATAGAAAAAATTGCATCATCTCATAAGGGCTTGAGAAACTTAGAGCCTGTTTGGGAGTGATTTCGAGAATTATTTTTTTGACTGTTAGAAAAAAAAGCAGGGTTTACCTGTGAGAGAAGAAGTTAAATATGATGGATGAAATAGTGAAATAACAATCAAAAAATCAATTTTTTGGAGGAAAAAATTACTCCAAAACATGCTCTTATACTTCACATACTTTCTGGGATTGACGAGTACTGTCTCGTATATTGCATGCATTTATCTATACTGGCCCCGTTTGATTTTCATTTTTTTTTTCAAAATATATTTTTCTCTCTTCTTTTCAACCACACATTTTTCATTAAAATAATATTACACATAAATCAAAAAATTTTATTTACCCATTCTTCATCAATCTACTATTCTAAAATTCCTTTTTCCTTAAAAATGAATGTCAAATACTCTCTCGGACACAAATAGGAGGGTACAAATAGTAATTCTATTTTGTTCATGTTAATTAAGCAACCATTTATCAAATTCTCGTTTTTAATGTGAGTTAATTATGTGTCACAATAAAAAAAGAAAAGGAAAAAAAAAAAGTTATGGTAGTGAAACAAATATACAAAGAACTTGATTTTCAATTATAATTAACACAGCATTTTAAACTACAAAAGGGGCCTTATTTACAAGAAAATCTTGAAAACTAATTCACATACGATTATGCATACACTTGATAAGTAGAGGAATTTGTAATTCTCTCTTTCATAAGTCGGGCTGTACAGGATAGAACTACACTCAAGAAGAACTAGTCAAGTTGAGTCGAATATGCTTAACCTTGATTAATAATGGAGGATACACCGAACATTTTCTTTCTGATAAAGTGAACTTTACTTTAAAATACTGGCGAAGGTGATCTAAAAGAAAAGCAGTTAAATAAGTTCTTATTTATTGTACCGTCCCATGTTTTGAGTCGAACACGCACTACCTTAGGCTTCGACTTTACCACAAATTTGTAAGGGTAGAGTGGAAACGGATGTATCTCTCTCACTCATCAGAAGAAGCTATTTTATTAGGGTTGGTCGTTTCACGTATATCACGTGACAGTATCATTTAGAGTACCCCGAATATGATAGAAATCTTTATATAGTTCAAATAAAATCACATGTTAGCAAAAAATTAAACAGATTTATATAAATTTACCATCCAGAAATCAAAAATTAAGACTGGCCCAAGTCACATGTAGCAAGTAAATCCCAACTTATAAATTTATGAAGAGCCTCTCCAACTATTCACTTTCGTTGAATAAAAATTAACATTTCCCTTGTTAGTGCATGATCTCCAATCATTGAATCAGTATGATGATTAATTTAATGTAATCAGATCATGAAGTTGAATGCAATATTGATATAGAAAGAGAAAAACGCAGACAAATACGAACAACTATTGAATTATTATGAAAAATGAAACACTAACCCGTTAATTTATATTGAATGCTAAAATATCGAAAATGCAAAAGTAAAATCTCAAAATTTTCCATGTAAAGTGAAGCGGGTCAAGTACCATTTTAGTACTTAAATAAAGAAAACCAAATGAGGGGGAAAAAAAAAACTAAATACGATGAAAATTAATAACAAAAATGCTAATTTATTGCAATTTTTTTTTTTTTAAATAATCCCGTCTCTAGTTGAATGATGG